CCACTAGTCCAGGAGCTGCTGGTCTGGCAGCTCCTGCTGCTCAACCAGGAAGGGGGGGGGCATGTGACTCTTCCTGGCACACCCCGTGCAGATCTGGGGGCAAAGGCCCCCCCAACCCCTCCTGAACGAGCAGCAGGAGCCACCAGATGAGCAGCAGGCAGCAGCAGCAGCTGCCCCCACCCCGACAAGCCGCAGAGCTCCATCCCATGCCCGCCCTGCCCAGGCAGCACTTGCCCCAGCCTGAGCCCCATTCTTCCCTCACCGTGGGGCTTTGATCTGCCCTGCTGAACCACACCAGACTTACCAGCTGCACGCAGCTCTCCAAGCTGGTATCGGGAATCGGATTGGTATCGGCCAATACACCTCCTTAAAAATCAGCTATTGGTATCAATCCCAAAAATCTCTTTCGATGTACCCCTCACTGTCTGGGTTATTGTTTTACATTAAGTTGCACACAGCCACACACACATGTTGGATAACAAGTACAAAGAGTACCTACTTGGAACCAAATGAAAGTGGCTACTCTCTTGTGGATCACCTGTGAGTAGTTCACTGCAAACCTGATGGGTGCAGATGTATAGGTGCCAGTTTGCTCCTTAAAACCTAAGACTGAAAAGTCAGCGTTCTAGTTTTTACCACAGTACCTGATGATATCTTTGTGGTTAAGCTTTTCAAGCAACTGGCACAACAAAAATAATTCTACAGAAATCACAACTGGTACTGCCGCATTTAATCGCACATCATACACACCATTTCCCTGAAAATTCACCATCCAAAGTTGGGGTGAGTGTCTTAAGCATTTCAGCTGATGTCCATGCTGGAATGGAGGCAGGAGAACAATGGAATGGCGGTAGAGGTCTGTGCTTGGTACTGGCTCATTCAGGGCTGAACCGTCCAGTCACAAGAAGCAGGGGTGGAGTCCCATCATCAGCCTTACTCCCCCTACCCATGCTGCAGGCCCAACACAGCTACAAGTTTAACCTTCACAGCTGCTGCTGATCTGGCAACAGCTGTGTTGGCCAAGCAGCAAGGGGGAGGGGAAGTAACACTGGCAACAGGACTCTACCCCTTATCCATGCTGGCTGGAGGGTTAAGCCTAGACTGTGGCAGGGAAGTCTGGAAAAAAATGTTTTTCCTCTTCATTTTGCCTTCCCAAAACAAGGTGCGTGAGATACGTGAACAATTGCGGTAAATCTCATTCTTGGAATTTTCAGCCAAGAGGTCAAAGAAAGAGTAGACATGGTGGAAAGAATGAACTAAAATTTCTACTTAAAATCATGGTATAATTGGATCACAGGCCTCTCACGCTATGCCATCACACCTATACATTCCCCTGCCACAATCACAAATGTGGTCCTAGTTACCATACTTCCCAAGGATCAAAAACAAGCAAGATAAGAAGAGAAACCAGAATGGAAATTGTAAGAAAAGCTTTAAGTAGTAGTACCAAAAATCTGAGGCAAGGGTACAGGAAAAAGCAGGCTGTTTTCCACCCTACCTTTATAGCTGTAAAAGTAGAGGCAGAACTACCTGTGCTGCAATTTTAGTATAAAATGTCCCTGATAGTATTCAAGTGAAACTCACAAAAATGTTGAATTTTCTCTGGTCTTCCTAGAAAAATAAGTGGACAGCAACAGGCAAGGTCATCCACTGCAGGGCCATTTTAAAAAGACGTGGCACCTGCACAAACATGTTAACAAACCCACATAACTAAGCTGAGCTATTGTATTACAGAAAGCATACACGTTACATTCAGCATGTGGCATGCAGCTATTATCTAAAAGAGGGCTCTAAAAATCAAGAAAAAAAGAGAAACTAATTACCTGAGGAGAATCAAAAGGGTATCGACTACTGAACTTAAATAGAAGTTGAAATTTTTCTCCTTCATATAATGTTCCTGGAGCACCTTCCATGTCTACAATCCACCTAGAAATGGAGACAGAGCTTTAGAAATGTGATGTAGTAACTGTAATTAAAACGCATAAGCAACTAAATCAACTATCTACTACGACAATATTACTGGACCTACGCTTCATTATCAGTGATGACCAAGGAACCAGGTTTTCCATTTCCTGCAGAAAAATGGAAAAAAAAAAAACAAAAAAACAACACACATTTTCTCTTTTAATGGAGAAACATGGATTTTCCACTTTTGCTAAGAGCTCTAAAAGCTGGCAGAGTTCCAGCCTGCAACAGGCTGGGTGCAGGGGACCAGGAGAAGGGCAGTCAGGCAGCGGGGACCATGTTCACATGTGCATTCACACACGCAGATAGCCGCCAAGCAGCCTGGAGAGCTGGAGGTAAGTCTGGAGGGGGAAGAGTGTATTGAGGCCTCCACAGTGAGGGAGGGAGTTGGGCAGGGCTGGGGTTGCCCAGCTGGGGCGCTACTTGGAGCCCAGGGCTGGAATTTGCAGCCACAGGGCCCTGGTGGGGAACAGGATGGAGCTGTGGGTGGATTGTCTGGCGGGCAGGGATGAAGCTGGCTCCCTGCCGCTGCATGCATTCCCAGGAGGGGGGTAGGATGGGAACATGCCCCTCGGATTTGTGCGTGGGGCAGAAGCAGGTGCAGGCTGTGGGCTCAGGCTCTCCATCCCGCTGCTCTCCCCCTGGGGCCCCCTCAGCCCAACAGGCAGGACCCAGCACAGCAGGGCAGAGTGGGGCTGGGAGCCCAACACTGCCCTAGTGAGGCACCCCCAGCTCGCTTGGCAGCAGCGGGGATGGTGGCACAGAGTTGTGCCCTTCACTGCTGCTGGGCGGGTAGGGGGAGCCTTGCCATGGCAGCATGGAGCTCTCAGTGGCGGCAACAATTTTGGAACACGCTGCTCTGCCCTGCTGCACTGAGTTCTGTCCTCTGAGCCATGGAGGCCCCAGGGGGAGGGCAGCCTGAGCCCACAGCAGGCAGCCCACCCCCACCACGGGCTCTGCTCCAGCCATGCCACCCAAGGGGGAGGGAAGACCGGGCTCCACTTTGCTGCAGCAGCTGCCATCTCCCATGGGCAGCAGCCAGGGCTTAGGTGCTTCTGAAGAGGGGTACAGACCCGGGTCCCTGGCTCTGTAGCCCTGGCAGCTGGGGGCCCCCTCCAGCAGGGCTGGGGGGCTGTAGCTTGGGAGTAAGGGGCCTGGACTTGTGTCTTGTTGAGTGAAGGGGGCAAGGGGAGCTCTGATTAACCATGATAAAAACCCAGAATCAAATACCAAAATTTATAGGCATTTAGAACTGATTTTATTATAGTAACTGAGGCACTGGTGGGCTTCCAAATTGGTTTAAAATTATAAATATATCTATATGGTGGCATTTCATTTTAATCACAGATTTGGGGGGGGGGGAGTTAATCAGAGACTCTTTTTGTTTTTAAATCAGAGAATTTGCAATTTTTAAAACAGAGAAAACCAGGATCCCTAGTGATGGTGAAAAGAAAAGCCAAAGCAAACCAAGTTGCATAGGTAAGGAACAAGTTTAGTATTTTACCTTCTCATACAAATATCATGATATAGGAAATCAACTCAAACATGCCATCTCCCTAGGCGATGAAGATGCATTACATTTGCGCCAGGAAAAGGGCCTTTTTGCCAACACAAAATGCAAATGTACAGGTATTCAAGGAATTTGATACAGAAACCTAGTGATCACAAACTGTTCACTCTTTGAACAGCAACATCGCTGTTTTCTAGTGCTGCATGTAACACATGTTCCATTACACCAGTGGTCACCAACCAGTGGATCTTGATCCACCGGTAGATCTCAGAGCCTCTTGGAGTCGATCCAAGGCTGGGGTGGGGGGCTGAGTGCCCACGTGCATGCACGCGTGCACCCCAGCCCAGCAGGTCAGTCCGTGGGGGAGGGAAAAAGCAGGGGCTAGATGGAGGACCCCATGGTGAAGGACAGCACCGCAGAGGCAGAGCAGAGGTAAGCTGAGCAGGGCCCTGGCCGGGTGGGATTTGCCTGCTGGGGAGGCGTGCCCCAAATAATTTTTTCTCCTTCTGCTTCAATCTGCCCCCCACCCCTTCCCTCCCCACAAACTTACCTGCTGGAGGGGTGGCAGCAGTGCATGCCAGATCTTAGGTTGCTTTTAAATGCCAAAGGTGATCTCCTACTTAAAGTTGGAGACCACTGCATTATACATACCAAAATGGGGGTCCCTAGGATCCCCAGTATCCCAAGCCCTCCATTCTCCTGCCTCTTCCAGCAGTGAGCTATAGGCCTTCAGTCACAGGCACATGAACAATCTTAGTAATTCCCATTGCCTTCTGAACAGCACCAGGTAGCCCCAGCACTGTTCAAAGGGTAGTGCAGATTTCTTCCTCTAACCATAACTCCTCCCTCCCCACACACTCACTCTGCTGATCGGCAGAGTGATGGATCAGGCAGGCACATAAGGCCCTGCAGTTAGGGTTGAACAATTCCCCCTGGAACTGCAAGACCTGGGTCTCTGGCAGCAGCCTTAGCAGGAGTGGAAGACACTGTCCTTTGCAGCTGCTGCTTTTCTGGCTGGGGGGCAGGCAGGCTGTAAATGACTGAGCTCTCCTGGGGGTAGGAAGAGCCAAAACGCAGCCTGCTATTGCCCCCCTGGCTGCAGAGCATACCTTTGAGGCAGATTTGTAGTCCTTCTGCAAGGAGGATGGAACCCCTGCATGTCCCTTTATCACATTTTTGTGGAGTTGCAAAATAACACCTATCCATACCTCTACGCTATCAGGGGAAAGTTATTCTGAAAGACTGGACTTATTTCCCACTTAAGCCTTTATCCCGAAGTTACAACTTGTGCAAGGATTTACTCTATCCTCTATTTCCTTTCCATTTGGTTTTACTTTTCTGCCTCTGAGATAACAAATGTAAGAATACAGTGAACAAAACAGTTCACCAATATTAAAGCAGAATCAGAAGAACACTTACAAAAGGTCACTTGGAATACTTCAAAGACATGAACAGATAAGGAAATGGGAAGGTTGGCAATGCAATGGCACAGGGACATAAAAGTAATAGCTTATTTACAAACTACCAATTCTGATCAGAGCTCTTCCTTGAAAGTTGTGTAAAAACAAAGGAAATTGCCAGACCAAATGCATAGCTGTAAATATCTCAGTAACGTAAAGAAAAAAAGTCTGGAATATGGTACATTTTCAAAACATGGTTCTATGTGGTAAGACAGCTATGGTTAATATGCAAACCTATCCTAAAAAGTGATGACAAAAACAAACTGATGTGTTAATATTATTTCAATGATGCACAAACTAGATATGCTAAGAATTTTATTAATACTCCCGGAATGCTCTGCACATATTACTTGTGGCTTGCTGCTCAATAAAACCACCACCTGGCTTGAGGTTTATGAAATCCTTTAGCATACACCTCTCCTTAAGCACAGAAATAACAGCAAGTAAGAACATAAAAATAGTCTATACAGCTTTAAACATGTTCTAAATTGCTGTAATTCAATTATTATATAATTATGTAGTCACTATCCTTAGCCCATTGTCAGACAATACAAGGTCCGCACAGTCCCTGGACTTCTCTCTGGATCATTCAATATCCAATGATGTCCCATTAGATCATAGTATTTCTTCTCTTCTGCTTACACTTGACACATGCCATCAGGATGTCAAGTCTATTTTTTGACTAACACAATAAGCTATTAAAAAAAAAAAAATCTATAAAAAAGATGAGGCTTTGAATACTGCTTTATATTTAAATGACTTCAATTTTCCAGTAACACTAGCTGTGCCAATTTTTTTGACTTAACACTTTTTTGAAGTGTATTTACTTCTCTCATCCTTTCCATAGACTACTTTCAAAATTTTCCCACCCCCCATATTTTATTGACATTTATCAGGGTTTTACAAATTGGATTGACCAATGCATTAAGTTTAATTCTGTTTGTAACAGCAAAAAGGAATCCCCTGAGCATGTGCTGTCTCAATTGACTTTAAACTAGATCCACTGAAGTTCTGTTCTGAAAACGGAATAATAGGCACTTTCTTATTCAAAACAGCTCTGTCCCTACGTAAAGTCAGGACTTCTAACTTAGAAGTAAAATGTGTTGTCACTTATTAGCTCTTCTCTTCATTTATGGTGCCAGGCTAATTTAGTCCAAATTCATATCACTAGTCCAAAAATTACTGAAGACCATGAAACTGTACAGGTACGACTAAGGCTGTAACACACGCTCATTTAAAGGTGTGGTGAGATCTGATCCCCAATCCCAACTTTCACGCCTCCTGACATGCCATATATGCAGGAAAGGAACTGCAATTTTGGAATCAAACATCAGATCCCAATCGTACCCTACTCGACAGTGCAGGGGAAGCCCAGGATCATGATCCTAGGTTCCCTCTGTACCAGAGAATTGAAAGTCAGGTGCCCGTCCAATCAGCTAGCTGTCAGCTAGCTCTGGGACCACACCAGGGCTTGAACCAGCTCCATGTGGTCCCCAGAGCTGGCCAAAGATCAGCTGATTGTCAGATGGATCAGGACTGGATCAGGGCTGAAACTGACCCTGCTGTTGTTCCTGAAGCCAGCCAACAATCAGCCAATTGTCAGTCAGTGGAAACCACACCAGGGTCAGTAAGAGACTCAAATGCAGTCCTAGCTCTGCTACACATTTAATTTAAGGCATGATGGAAACCAGCCACAAAACAATTACACATTGTGTGTGCAATATTTTTTGTGGTTGGTTTCCCTTTTAGTGGATACATTAATTACCTTAACACATGGCCAGGTTATCTTAAGTGCAATGTCTGCCAGGTCCTCGAGAGCTGGATCCTATTTCCCCTTCATTCACCTACGTGGCACTTAGATAGCTGTATAACCATGCGTTTTTTGGCATTTATACACAATTTGGTACTCAGTGCTCACCCTGTGCTTCAGAAGGTTGCACTCCGGACAAATAAAGACTCAGCTTCACTCAAAGCCCAGAAATCCAATTTAA